TAAACCTAAATGTTTTCGGTGCAAGTTACTAAAGTAGGGAAAAGTTACACTGTGGAGAAGAACAGAGGGAGGTTTTTGTACATTTATTTTACTTGTCTGAGGCAGTTCAGAGTAACTGATCCTAGCCAGTGGAGGGAACAATTTGATCCACTATCAAATGGCACATAGTCCACAATGGCCGAGCTAGGGGGTTGCCAATGGTGGCCTTGGCCACCATAGATTAGTCTCCAGTCACCTCAAGGGCCACTTCAATCATTTGAGGAAATTATTAAGAAAAATAAAACTAGAAAGAATATCAAAAAAAGTTAAATCTGGTCCTCTGGACATTCAAAAAACAAAAAAAAAGTAAAACAACAAAAAAAATGTAGAAACGTTTTGTCTTTCATCCGAAAGACTTCCTCAGTCTGAGGTGCTGTATTCAGCTCAGTCTTATAAATAGCACCTTCTCAGAGTGGATCAACCAGTTTTGCTACTGACAACCAAAACCAGCTGATCACATGATCAAGAAGGACCATCAGCCTAACGATGTATCATTAGCACACTGATGGCTCAGCACAGAAGAGCAACAACATCAGGCCAGGACTCTGTGGTCTACACTCATCTCCAGGCCGGCGGTCACTCGTTCAGGGATGAAGATGTTCACATCCTGGATAGAGGGGAACGATGGTTTGAGAGAGGGGTGGAGGCCTCCGTGTTCATCTGTCCCCCTCTTACAATGCCGTTATTGCTAGTATCACTCAGCCCTCTGTGAATAGTAAACAGCCATCATTGTGCTAATGATCCATCGTTAGGCTGATGGTCCTTCTTGATCATGTGAGCAGCTGGTTTTGGTTGTCGGTAGCAAAACTGGTTGATCCACTCTGAGAAGGTGCTATTTATAAGACTGAGCTGAATGCAGCACCTCAGACTGAGGAAGTCTTTCGGATGAAAGACGAAACGTTTCTACATTTTTTTGTTGTCGTTTTGCTTTTTGAATGTCCTGAGGACCAGATTTAACTTTTTTAGATTTTTCTACCTGGATTATTGAGCATGCATCAGGATACTAGAAAGCATGGTTTCCTCAAATTATATGGGTAGATGGTTTACATATATATGTAGTGGTGGCCATCTTGGATTTTGATGTGGCAACCCAATTTTTAAAAAAGTGACCTTTGAAAAATAGAGGCACAAACTACCATTTTGATTTGGGGCTAGATCTAGCCATAACAAATTATCATGCCCACAACATGCACGCATGAATGAATGGATGGAGGGTTTTTCCTTTTCGCTCTACGATGGAGGACAAAAGTAGTCGTGTTGTCCGTCATCTTTTCCTATCAGCTTTTGACTAAAATCTTGAGTCAAGAAGTGCCAATGATTCTGTCAAACCCTAAATATAACATTGTGCGTGATCTTGTGAAATTTATGTCTCACAAGATCTGTTAGTGTTCAAAGTATATTTTAAGGAATGAATTGACAATCACATTTTAGCCCAGTATCGGTAAAATGGATTGAGCTGATCATTTTTGTGCAAGCTAAGGTCCATTAGCATTGGTGGCCATCTTGAAAAGTCAGTTTATCCCTTTCTGTGAGATTCTTCTGATCTAGTGGTTCATGAGATATTTTAGTTATAAACAGACAAATGACACACTTAAAGACCATCCATCCATCATCTTTTACCTGCTTCTTCCATTTTGGGTCACGGGGGTCGCCGGTGCCCATGTCCGGCAATCACTGTGCGAGGGGCGGAGTACACCCTGGACAGGTCGCAAGTCCATCACAGGGCACTTAAAGACCAAATTAATGTTAATTTAGGTGTTGTACTACAGTCAAAATCAAGGACTTTTTTCTTGATTCTTTGTGTATAAACTGAGTTTTAACAGTTACTAGAAAACATTGGCACTTCTGCAGAGGTGATAGCAAGACTAAATGTGTGTCCATTCGTTTTAGTGACCGGTATGCAGAATCAAAGAGTTTGAATGGCATATTTTAAATAAATTTCTTATTGAAATATGAAGTTAATGCCGTTTTTTCACAGCTTTCTAAGTGATTTGCTACATTAGCTTTGATTTTTGTCTAAACTAATCAAAAAAAGGTAATTAAAGTGGATTCTTGGAAGATTGGATTTACTGGGAAATATCACTTGTGTTTTAATAGTTTAAAAAAAACTAAGGCAGTCGAGGTTATCTTAATACAATCAACCTGTAAACATAATTCAGTAAAAAATTTTAAAAAATTTAAAAAAGTGTGGTTTCTGAACCAGGATATTAATTAGCAAACATTTTAAAAGGCTTCCATTTTGTTGTCGTAACTAAAACAACAGTTGCTTTCTTGGAATAAAAATTCTATGGAACCTGAAGAAAGAATGCGTTTCATCCAGGAGGATTTAACTGAAGCCTGACTCGAGGGCATGCCTGCTCCAAGTTACACCCACTCAGATTTTGTACAAATAAATCCACCTCTATTTACAAAAACATAGTAACTGATCCTACAATAATTTATATTAGAAAACTCCACAAACTTCACTATCCTGTGGTGCTGCTAGGCTACAGAATGCATTTTAATCTAAAATAAAAAAACATTATTTAAACTAGAGACATTAGATTTCCTGCAAAAATGCTGTGTGAATGCTTAGCTTACAAGCTGCTGAAAAGGTTTCATTGCTGTGTTAAGCTAAGCGAGTTGAATTTGAACAGCTCACATTTGCAAATAGCAGAATAATAAAAAGAGAAGGAAAATGTGTAGGAAGAGCTGTATACATTAACAGAAATTAACAGAATACGCTGAAATATAGAGAAGCTGAATAGATTACAAAAAAAGCTGAAATTAGTAAATTAACAGAATACGCTGAAATATAGAGAAGCTGAATAGATTACAAAAAAAGCTGAAATTAGTAAAGAGGCTGAGAAAAGCATAATAGTTTGGCATTAAAAGGATATTAAAAAGGCTATAATAGGTAAAAGGAAACAGCTAAATTTAGCAGAGATAAGCTGAAAAGAAATATAAAAATGATGAATTTAGCAGAATGGTGCTTAAAATAACAAAAATAAGCTGAAATGAGCAGAAAAAAAATGATTGAAAAAAGCTCAAATGAGCTGAACAAAAGCTGAAAAGAGCTGAATGTATCTGAAATTAGTGCAAAGAAGCTGAAAATGTCACGTTTTCTGCTTTGCCTGCCATAGTTCCTGTTCATGTTTGTTTTCATCTCAGCGCCTGTCAACCTGCACCTCAGTCTGCTCTTGTAACCACGCCCACTCAGCTGAGTCACCACAATCAACTCTCATGCAGCTCACCTGTTGTCACTTGTACTTAAACACCACAGCCACACTGCTCAGTGCCAGATTATTGAAAACCTTACAGTGAGTAAATGTCCAGCATTCATGCCATAGTCTCGTATGTCTTCCTGGTGTTGACCTCACGCCTGCTCCACGGATTCCTCACCTTGCTCGCTGCCTGCCTGTCTGTTTTGGATTATCTGCTCTGCTTATGGAAATGACATCGGCTTCCTCTATAATGACCGCGACTTTTGGATCTCGTCTCAAGTTTGGCTTCAGATCTCTGACCCCCCGTGTATTAACCTAGTCTGTCTCTCTGAACCTGCCATTTGGATTTCCCTCCTTGCTGCTCACTGCTCAGCTCAGTCTCAAAGCCGGCTCATCTTCACCACCGGTGAAGTAACCAGAACCAACTCCTTCAAGGAATCGCTCCCTCATCTGTCTGTGAAGGTTGGTGACTGTCATCAGAATAATCTGAAGATTACTATTGAATTCTTGCTCATTAACTCTGCTATCTCTTCAGATATTGCCGGCCCAAGGACTAAGACCTCCACCAGAAGCAGTTTATTAATAAATATTTTAAACCTTCCTGCTGTCTGATCTGGTTCGGATTCCTAAACCTGATTTTTGTCAGAAAAAAGGTGAACCAGGTCGTGGTCGATAACTTCTTTAAAATTACAGAAAAGGCAGTGGAGGCTTTGGGACGTGATTTTTGTCGCTGGCCTGGATGACCTTGCTAGGAGTTCTCCAGTGCAATGTCTTGAGATCTTCTCAGTACAAAAGTTTTTTTTCCCCAAGATAAATCTAATGGAGGGAGAAGAGCAGCAATTCAGCAGAATGAGAAAGGAAAACTCCCCTGCAGCAAAGCAACATGAGGCAGGAACTGAGGTGCTCTGGATGTTTAGAAAAGAGTATGTTAAGGGCTACGTTAAGAAAACAGGGATTTGGCTGCCATGTACTCTCAAAGGAGCGGACCAAACAATCAGATCAATGAGACTAAATGAGTGGCCGGGAAATGCAGTTGTTCCCTACAATTTGTTTAAATAAGTCCAGCTTGATTACCAGGGCAAAGGCCTACAATTTGAACCAGATCTATCTGACATTGTAACAGACAAAGCAATCATTGAGACCCGAGATCGTTGGACATATGAATACAATGCAAGGGCATACCTGGACAAGTTCTCATCAAAGCTGTCACGAATGAGACAAGATCGTGGCGATAAAAGGCTCATCAAGGCCATGCTCAATGGGAAGCTGGAGGACATTCCGTCCATGCTGCAACCTTACATTGACAGGACAGTCAACAGTACATTGTTGTTTACTGTCCTAGTCCCAAAGAGAGAACTAAAAATGAAGGGACAATACTTTTCGAAGCAATCCCTTGAGACCAGGATTTACCAGGTACTAAGTGAACTATATTTAAAGGAAGAGATCCTCCCTTTATTTGCCCTTTCAATCGATGACCACTGGCTCCACTCAGTTGTCACATGTTGACAAAATTTCCAGCTAGATTACAGAAAAAACAGCCTTCGTAATCAATCTCTACTATGAAAGCTGGTGCAATGCTTTTAGACCCGAGTCTCAGGACCCGCTCTGCGAGGAGCTAGACAGAATGTTCAGATCTGACAATTATTTTAGGGTCGGGTCATACCTGCCGCTCGGAACCATGTTCCTTATCCAGGACAGGTTCAACTCGCCCAAACAAGGAGAAAACTGGTATCCCCTAGAAGACCTCAGTTCCTGCATTCATGGCTCGCTGACAATGGGCGAGGGAATGAGGCAGAAGCTGTGGACAATTCTGACCGGGTGTATGGAGTTCTGGAGCGCTCGGGCGTACGAGGCGAGGTTCTAGGGCAGGGAGATAACCAGACTCTGGTCATGCACACATGCCCGGAGCAAGATAAAAACAAAGTAAGGGACTTGGTGATTGCTGACCTCCAAGAGTTTTCAAACCAGTGTGGTCTTATCCTGAAGCCTGATGAATGCTGGTCCAGTGATGTCCTCTACGAGTACAGAAAGAAAATGTACTTTAAGGGATGGCAGGTTAGTAACTTCCTGAAGATCTTCTCTAGGATTTCAGACAGCACTGGAGAACTCTATCCAAATATCTATGTGAGACTCGCTTGCCTCAGCTCCAGCTGCTTACCAGCTTCTCAATCCGATTATACACCTTGGCCATCTGTCATTGCCAGTCTGCATGTTTACTGTTTAGAAATCAGGGTATTGCTTCCGAAAGCAGTGTGGAACTCCGTCCAAACACTTGCTGCGTTAGCTCTGGTTGGCCCGATGATTGATGGCCTCCCTTCGCCCGCGACGCTGCCATCTGTTTTCTTTCGAGGTATGCCAGACCAACTTACATTCCAGCTCTCTACTCAGAACAGCACTGGGGCTTGGAGTTAGCCGCACCGAGATTCACAGAATCGCCAAACTGAACTTACCAGGGCACCCATCTCCACAAGCACTGGTGGTCGACCCAACGTGTCTTAACGTCGCTCAAATCAGGAGACCTGAAAGAATAATGAGGAGGTGGATCGAGGATGGTTTGGCAGACATGACTACGTCCTCAAGACTCCTTAGACTCTTTCAAATGGATCTGACGAACTCTGCGACTACGCTTGCCAATGACATCTACTCCATGTCACCAAAATTCCCGAGGCTTATGGGCTACATATTCTCATTAAGCAATGTCTCATATGGACTGTCAGTGTTGGATAAGTTTCAAAAATCCAGCATTGTGATTTTGATCAATCAGGGAATCAACTTACCACACATCATTGATGAAAGCAATTCCTACAGAGAAAAAGGTAATTTCATCAATCTGCGAGGAAAATCACCTGCCAATCTCGATCTTAAACTACATGGGCCCATGTAGTTACAAGGAGGCTGAGAGACTGCGCCATGCGACCTGGGGGGAAGAAATGTCTGGGGCAACCAGCCCCTTTGTCCCCGAGCAGTTTAAGCTCAGCACTGGGGCGGCTGTGGCTGAGTGGTTAGAGCAGTCGTCCTCCAATGCGAGAGTTGGAGGTTTGAATCCACCACCAGTCACATGTCGAAGTGTCCCTGGGCAAGACGCTGAACCCCTCATAGCCTCTGATGTGTGTCCCATCATTGTATGAATGTGATAAAAAGCTCTGATTAGTCTCTTTAGAATTTGTTCAATTAGCTTTGTAGAGATCTAGTAGAGTGCTGTATGAATGGGTAAATGAGGCACAGATTGTAGTGTAAAGAGCTTTGAGTATCTTGAAATAAGATAGAAAGGCGCTATACAAGTACAGTCCATTTACCATTACCATTTAACAGCTGAAAATACCAGTTTACGGTTTTAAACTGCTCAAAGGGTTTGAAGGACGTGGAGAACTCCATTCATTTATATTGAGAAAAAAAAAACATGATAGAAAAAAACTAAATATTTAAAAAAGTAAAAATTGCAAAATACCAAAAGTCACACCAGGGATGTCCTGAATGAGATTAACATTTTACACGTATTGTTGAAATAGCACAAAAATTATGGCACGAGTTATGTGTCAAAAAACGTAAGGGGAAAAAAAGGATTGTCAATAGTGTGAATTTTTTATAAACATTAACACAATTAAAAGCTTAGCATTCCATGAAGAAACGCATGTCAACCACTTCGACTTCAACAGTTACTGGCCAGTTTGAAGCAAATCTTAATCAGCTGTGGTGGCCATCTTAAATTAGAACAACCCAAAAAGTAAAATCAGTTGTAGATGTTCAGCTGGTGAGTATTATCAAAAGGTTACATTAAAGTTTTTCCGGTGGTTCATGTGACGCTTTGCCAACAGACAGAGCTGACAACGTAACACAATTTAAACAAAAGTTCTTGTGTAAACTGTTAGAGCTCAAAGTAAGTGTTGGGGATAAGTTTCAGCTACCACCACAGCAAGCTCATTGTATCTGTAAAAATTATTGTGTTGTGGCCATGTTTGTGTATTTTAAGGTCAGTTGGCTGCGGCAGCTATTGAAGCGTATCAACTTTAAACGTATCCGTGGTAGATTTATTTTTAATGGATTACTTTTGGCAAGTTTCAATAGATCAGTTGTTGATGTGATATTGTGGTAACAAACAGGCACACTGTCAAACACAGGTACAAGCAGAAACCGTATTGTACACCTTGGCTGTTTGATAGCAATGTACCGTATTTTTCGGACTATAAGGTGCACTTAAAATCCTTTAATTTTCTCAAAAATCAACAGACAGCCTTATAATCAGGTGCACCTTATGTATTAATTGTAGTTGAGCTAACTGAACTCGAACCGATTTTTTTGTGGTTATTGTGAATGAGTTGAATAAAGTTTGACTTATCTGACTGTTACACTGTAGTATAAAGTGCTTTGAGTATTTTCATAAGATAGAAGTTGCTATATACATTAAATACAGTCCATTTACCGTTTTGTTGTTTGCTTAATGCACCTTATAATCCGGTGCGCCTTATAGTCTGAAAAATACGGTATGTTTATTTTAGTCAGACGTAACAAGGGAAAATCTTTTAGAACAGACTGAAGTCTTAATGCATGTTCACCATCTCTACAACCTTTGCCATCATGGCTAATTTATTGCGTAAGAATTTGAAATCCCTTTTAATTCCCACAAAAGCTTGATACAAAATTTGTTCCGGATGGTTTTTAAATTGCCGTGTTTGATTTAATAAAGAGAAAATAAAAATTTTATTGATTAAAAAACAAAACTTCTACTATAAGGTTTGTGTGTTCACATGACAATTTTTTTGTCTGCTCAAAGAAAGCTTTATGCAAATAAGTGAAGAAAGCAGTTTTGATTTGTGGCGACGTCTCTCAGCAGCTGCTTCCAATCTGAGCCGGTACAAAACAAACACTTCTGACCGAACACCATCTAGTTATTATCCTAAGATGTTCCTAGAAGTGACGCTGTTTCGTTTTTTTGTTGATATTGTGGATATAATCCCCAGGAGCTTTTGTCCTTTTTAAAGTTGAGTTTTCTTGGGGAGAACTACTTTTCCACTGACTCAATTACAGTAATAAAAACCTCATTTTATCACCACTCTGACATTTTACTGTCTAATAATAAGAAATAATAACAGTCTCCGACTAGCACGTCTTTCTTTGCGTCTGATTTTGCTATTTAAACAGAAACTCAACTACTGTTCAGAGTGTGGAAACAAGCAAACCTAAATGATCTAAATCATGAGCTGGGATCTGGCTGTAAAACCCTCCCACCCTCTTGCTCCGTTTGCTGGAGGTCTGCTTAGAATGAGCGTGTGGAAACAGATGTGTGTTCCTGTTTACACTCAGAGGAAGATAATTGGGAAAGTCTGGTTCTCTCCTCAGGAACTCTGCTGCTCAGTGGGAGCCATGTTAATATGGAAACAAACATTTCTAACTATCTCTTTTTCCTCTCTGTTCTCACACACTTCTTTTTCTCTAAAGATCCTCCTGTCACCTCTCCCCCATTTTGTCCCGTTCTCTTCATGGGGGTACGACGACATCTCTGTTCAGCTTCAGTTTAAAAAGGGTGGTGCCCAAGACAGATCTGGATCCTTTTGTCCTCTGACAACAGCTTCTTGCATCGGCCAGCAGCTCCTTCTTCAGAAGACAGCAGGGAGCAGCAAAGTTGACTTCAATAAATAAGCCCCTCTTTTATTCAATGCAGAAAAGTACGTTCAGGTTTTAGAACAATGCCAGCTCCAGAGAAGGTCTTGCATATTTCAGCAAGACGATGCTAAACCACAGACTGCATCACTGGAGAAACAAGGCTCTAAAAACTACTTTTTGGAGATGTGTTTTTAATAGTTCAATTTCATAATTTAAATCGCTCGATTGGGGGGGGGGGGGGGTATGTTCCACTGCAAGTTTTTGAAAATTTCAAATAGTTGCATTTTTGTTTTAATGTCCTTTGCCGCACAGCAAAAAGTGAGAAGCTGGGATACCTTTTGTCCATCCGTGAATGTTGTGAGCGTGATAACTTGAGAAATGGTGACTTCCATTTTGGTTTGTGGCTGCATATAGGTGGTAGAAAGGTTTCTTTTGGAAATTGGGTTGCCACGTCAGAACTCAAAATGGCCACCACCACAAATGTAAACCAGCCACCCTTATCATTTGAGGAAAACACGTTTTCTTGTTTTAATAGTGCTTAAATGTATAGCTTACTCAAATGATTAGGGTGGCCAGTGCACTGGTCAGACATTGATCTATGGTGGCTAAGGCCACCGCTGGCAACCCCTGGCTCCGCCTATGCACCTGTGGTGGATAAAGCTGCTCCCTTCATTTGCCAGGATCTGTCACTCTGTGCCGCCTTTGACAAGCAAAACAATAAAATTTCTCGTAACATCCACTGGAATATCTTGCACCAGAAACATTAAGGTTTACTTGCAGTCCCTGTTCCAGTCCAGAAAAAAAAAACAATCTCAAAAAACTACAAATATTCACTATTCAAATCCTTCAGTGACGGGGGACATGGCGTCCTGCTCGTTTACTCTTTAAACAACCAAACTTGGTCAGGAATGAGGCAGTACACTTTCACATTCCAAACGCAGATTCTCCTCCACATCTGAGCCCAGTCCTACCTGGAACTGGCCGGCGTAGTCGTCGTCCGTGGTGCCCTCTCTGCCCTCCTTCAGCGCAATGAGAGTGAAGCCTCTGAAGTAAGCAGGGCTGGACGCCAGGAGGGACACTGTTGAAAAAACATCAGCGTGATCCACAAGGAAACTTTTTTTTTTTTTTTTTTTTTAAACACCTCGGTGCTGCCGTTATGTACAGATAAATGTAAAAAAAACTTCAGCAGATTCCCTGTGGCTGTCAGCATGATGTGGAAGATTAAAGGCTGTAAAGAATATCACAAGTTTAAAACAGAAGTCTAATTTAATCTGATGGCTGGGGGGAATACAATGCAGACTATTTGACCAAGAATCAATTAGTCAAACTTTTTCAGTTTAAGCTTTGTGGATGCTTACGGGTTTTCTACAGTATCTTTTGCTCGAAGAAGGTCTCAAATACATACTGTGATTCAAAATAAAAGTTTCAGTGAAAGCAAATGGCTTTAATCACTGCACATGTTATTGTTTAGAACAAAAAACTTTGTACAGATGTGGACAAATTCATTGGTATCCTTACAGCTCAATGAAAAACAGGCCGTTTCTCGTAAAAAGTGACTCAGAAGCAGTTGTCCAAGTGTTTGACTTTAGGAGCCTTCAAGCTTTTCATCATTGAGCCTGTTTAAATGGAGCAAATAGGCTGCATGGGTGCTTTGGTTCTGAGCGCCGTGCTGAACATGGAGCTGAGACCAGAGCTGTCTGAGGAGCTCACAGAGAAGGTTTTATATATTCATGCCAATGGTGAAGCCTCCAAGACCATCTCAAGCAACTTCACATCCCTACAGCTGACGTTTTTTTTAAAGTAGAATGGAAATGTAGTCAACCTCCCAAAAGTGAACACAAGAGGAAATGCAACCCAAGGTTGATGGAAAGAATAGTGCAGAAGTAAAAAAAAAAAAAAAAAAAGAGCCAACGAAAAATCTTAAAGCTCATAAGGTCAAGGTGTCACTTTCGGATTACAGCACTGGTCACATTTTGAATCATAGTGGGCTCCATTGAAAAAAAAGACCCCAGAAGAAGAACAAATAAAATCATGTTGACCCAACAAACAAGTGATGAGACCAAACTTTCTCGCTTTGAAAACACTGATTTTGTTTTATAATTATTGTGGAAGAGAACCTGAAACTTTATAAAGAAGTAAAACTGTTTATATGTTTCTAAACCAACACTATCGGACAACAGTTCGTTTTGATTGTGGTCAAATTTGGAACTTATTAAAATAGTTTTGTCTTCCTAACTGGAGCCATGCAGGCTCGTGTGAGTCTCTGCCTGCATGTTATTATCCGAGTGGCAGGAAGAGAAGAGGAAGGAAGCGAATATGGGTCATTATCACCCATCCTCTCTGCGGGAGGCTGGGGAAGTTGGAAATTGTTCCCCCCTGGGCTGCTTTATTTTTATTATTATTCAACACATTAGACATGCTTCAACTTTTTGTTGTGCTTGAAAACATGTTTTCAGACTTGATATTTGGTGCACATTTACGCACTAACTGTTGAAGTTACGCACGAACTTAAATGGAAAAAAAAAAAAAAAGTCTACCTCTGTACGTGTTGCCGGGGAGGTAGGTTTCCGGGTCCCCCTCCATTCTGAGCCTGAACTCATGGTGCCCTTCCCTCCGGGTCCCCTGCGTCTGCGCCCGGAGTATCCGCCCGCAGTACCCGTCCGACCTCCCCCCGGCGGGCTCCTCCACAAACGCGACGGCGTTGCACACAAAACTCGACACGAAATAGTACTGCAAGAGCAGCAGATGCAAATGCATTCCCATTTCGGAGCTGCAGCCCGGAGTGGCTGTGCAAAATGAGAAATTAAAAGCCGGCAGTGGGGACAAGGACCGGCTCCGTCTCCCTCCTCCCACTGAACTGCAGCCGCGTCACAGCTGGAGGCGCGCCGGAGACGAGTCCATCCTGGAGCGGAGCGAGGGAGCGCACTGACCAGGGAGGGGGGTGCTGCTGCAGCTGGTCCAGGATCAGTCCGTCAGTGGTGCTGATAGGAGGAGGGGGGGCGGGAGGAAGGCATCAACCCGAGGGCAGAGCAAGTTCATGCTCCGCACTTTAATAAGAACCTTCTCCATTATTACACAAAAACACTTAATTCCTGGAAGATAAAAACAAAAAACATGTTTTACCATGTTTTCTGCACAGTCTGAATAAAAATTAATCACGTTCAAAAGGAGGGATAGTTTAACATTTTCACCACTTTTTTTCCTCCCACGTGAAGACATTTGATCCACAATTACGGCCCAAAACAATAAATAAATATTTCATTTGCATCAAACATGCGTCTGATGCGTTTTGTGCATTTTCTGCAGCCCCGTTATGACACTTTGCTGAGAGTTGAAATCATGTTTAATTTATCAAACATTGAGGTTTTGAGAACTGTTGAGGGGATAGAACACAGAATTTATAAACGCTGGTGTGTTTATTTATTTTTCCAAAAAGGAATTTGAATGAAATATGTTTTTATGATCGTGCTACAGTAAAGTCCACTATGATTCTATTTGAAAACTTTCTTGTGAAATAATTTCTTATTTTTTAGCCTGCACGTGATCTTCTGAACGCTCAGGCTGCGGAACCAAACGGCCGGCAGGGGTCGCTAAAGTGTCTTTGCACCCCTACGTCATTTATTTAGGTTTTGCTCGTGTCTTTACGCAAGTTTCTCTGTTAGCCGAATATCTTATGAATTACTGGACGGATTTAAATGAAACTTTGGTTTCATAATTACTGGGTACACGTTTATAAAAGATTAACTTTTTGAGTCAATACAATTCAAGATGGAAGCCACAGCTAACTAAACTTACAACACCCAAAAGGTTACAAGTCAGTCAGTTTTACAGATATTACGCTATTTTTTAATGTGGTAGTAGCTGAGATTCATCCCCAACTTGTACTCAGAGAGTTAACAGTTTATAAAATTTGCAATTAGTTATTAGTCAACTCTTTGTTTCAAGCTATCTCATGGACTACTTGGAAAACTCTCAGAAAGCAACCACTGGTTTTACATCTACAACTACTTCCCTTTCAGAGCCAACCCACTTTAAGATGACTGCTGCAGCTAATCAATATAAACCAGGACAAACAACGCTCTGATTCAGTTTTGTGTGTTTGCGTTACGCAAAACTCACAAAGAAAGTAAAAAAGTTCATCCTAAATCTCCATACATAGTAAAATAAACTAGTATCAACAGACTTCCAGATGTTTCGGTGTATTTGGGCCCACATATCAAACATGTCTGTTATCTTCTGTACATGTAAACGTTGGGGAACTGGAAGCAGATGGGGGATCTGGACCTGGTTAAAGTGGACAGCTTCGTCCTGGACGCCTCAGCGCGATGAATCTCATCTGGAGTGAATCCACTTTAAGCTGTCTGCTGGATGTCTAACACAAACTGAACCGCTGACCCAGATGGGGAACCCAGAACAACTCGTCGACCTTTTGAAAACAATCTGTCTGGAAGCCAACCATAACATCCTTGCTTTCAAATGTGCAAGTTTTTTTTTTTTTTAAGACTAAATGTTGGTGGGAAATCTAATCAGATCTTCTGACTCAACGTTTAAAAGTGGATGTTCTGCAGATTTGATTGTCAGATTGTCTTCAGTCAACCTGCTCAAATCAGCTTTTCACAAGAGAGAAACGGTTCGGCACTGAGTCAATATGAAAAATGTTCTGATTTATTTTTATTTTTATGAATTTCCTCTGATGGACTGTAAAAATGTATTTAAATAACTCAAAATAGTGTTCAAGTGTGCAAGAGTAAATCTACAAAGACACTCCATTGTGTCTTTGTGGGTTTAGAAAAAGCATCTGACAGGGTGCCGAGGGAAGAGGTGTGATGTTGCATGAGGAAATCTGGAGTGGCAGAAAAGTATGTTAGACTGGTACAGGACATGTATGAGGACAGTGGTGAGATGTGCTGTAGGAGTGACAGATAGCTTCAAGGTGGAGGTGGGAGTGCATCAAGGATCAGCTCTGAGCCCCTTCTTGTTTGCTCTGGTGATGGATCGACTAACAGATAAGATCAGACAGGAATCCCCATGGACTATGATGTTTGCAGATGACATTGTGGTTTGTGATGAGAACAGGGAACAGGTGGAAGAGAACTTGGAGAGGTGGAGGTATGCACTTGAAAAGAGGAATGAAAGTCAGCAGACAGAGTGCATGTGTGAATGAGGGGGAGGAGGTGGAACAGTGAGGCTACAAGGAGCAGAGGTCAAAGGTGCAGGACTTCCGAGTACTTGGGGTCCACTGTCCATGAAAATGGGGTGTGTGGTAAAGAGGTGAAAAAGAGAGTCCAGGCAAGTGACAAGGATGGATATAATCAGAGGTACAGCACAGGTTGAACAACTGGGAGATAAAGTTAGAGAGGCCAGACTGAGATGGTTTGGACATGTCTAGAGGAGGGACAGTGGGTATATTGGTAGAAGGATGCTAGAAATGCAGCTACCAGGAAAAAAGACAAAGAGGAGATATATGGATGCAGTCAGAGAGGACATGGAGGTAGTTGGAGTGAGGACAGAGGATGCAGAGGATAGAGATGGAGGCGGATGACTTGTTGTGGCGACCTCTGAAGAAGGAAAAGTCCAAAGATGAAGTTTAAGTGTGCAAGATAAATTTTTTTCAATTTGCCGTTTCTTTGCTCACAGTGTAAAAACCTTAAAATTTAGCTCATGTTTTTTGTCTCAAATAAATTATGGAAAAAGCTTAATGCCAAGAAAACAATCATTTTAAAATTACAGTGTAAATCCCGGCAAATAAAAAACAGGAAAAACTTCTGTGTTTATGTCCATAACGTTGCTCTGAATGAAGTCAAAGCTCAACATGTGAACATTTTTTTTTACATCGTTACAGTTTTAAAATCCTTTTGATGTCTTCTTATTTTTGCAAAGATCAACTTGTTTCTAATGGAAGTTTAAGAACAAGAACCCTTTTTCAAACCTGCAGACAAAAGTTGAGATCAGGCACTAAATACATTTAAGGCCTAGCATTCTTTAAAGAAATGCATTTCACCTTCTCACTCTTTCATGCCAAATCTCTAAATTGTCATTTATAGACATTTCTTTAGGGTTCAAATGATTACATGAGCTGTAATCGTTAAATGTAATCACTCCGAGTGAAATAAAGCCATGAGCCATAATCAATTGTTGGCAGAGAAAAATCCCATTTCATGTCCAATTAGAAACATTTTAGCAGCACTTCGAGGATGTAAATAACTCAGCTACTCCCACATCAAATTTTATGGTTAGTATTTATAATAGGCTTAGCTTCAGTATCTTTGTTTCAGTTAGCCATGGCAGCCATCTTGAACTGAGATGACCCAAAGATAATGGGTTGTAGATGTGTACGCAATATTTACTTTCTGCAAGTTTCATTGATTCTAACCTGGTCAGTGGTTCATGAGATATTTTGCTGACAAACACAAACGCAGTTACTTGAATGCTTACTTTTTATGGCAGTGGGTTGTATTCAAAAGAATAAAATAAAAACATCTGTGCTACGTTTTCAGTGTTTTTATCCAAAATGTTTAATTTAAAAACTACCAAAAGTTTCATTGACAGAATGCAGGTTTGTATTAACATTTAAAAAAAAAAGGTGTTTATTTTTCAATTAAACAAAATTTCAGGCTGGATGGAAATTGTTGAAGAGCCACTTTAGGCCTTCCATACATTTCCCATATCCGCTTTGGATAATAACAAACAAAGTTAATAATAGAATAAAAAGTATTTATGTGCAATGATTGCAAAGAGGTGCTCTATAGTCATTAACCAACTTTTTTTTTTGTTTGATTTAAACACAGTCCAGCAAATTACTCAATAAAATCACTTAATTATTATTATTTTTTTTTCATTTAGCCTTTATTTATCCAGGTTAGTCTCATTGAGCCACGAGAACTCATTTTCAAGAGAGACCTGTTTAGGGAGCACATGGTGGGGGTTAAGGGCCTTGCTCATGGGCCCAGAGTGGGGCGAATGAGGGTGGGGGCAAGTGTGGGTGTTTCACCTACCCCACCCACAATTTTGATGTTGTCGGGGCCGGGGCGTGAACCGGCGATCTTCGGATCACAAGCCCACCTCTCTAACCTCTGCGCCACCACTCCCCTTAATGACTCCATTATCTCTTTGAAATACCAAAAAAAAAAATCAACCTTTTGACAGTTTGGATTGTTTAGAGGCTGTTGAATTCAGGTTGTCAGTGTACAGCAGAAAAACATTTATTTCATGTCCGTCTGAAACAGAGAACCGTTTCAAACCTTTAAAAGATCATTCACATCTTGGGTTTAACTGAAACTGGACAAAATAGATCGCTTCTATACCCTTTGCCATCACCAGTGTTAAAAGATCTTGCCTCCGGCCGTCACACACAACCAGTGTTATTAATGGAAAAGTGCTAATGTCCGCAGAAGGAACCTGGCAGCTCGGAGGCTGAGCAGCACTTCATTTGACTCACTAAATATGTCAGCCTGCCAGACTTGACAATGCCTTTGGTCAAAAGGGAAAAAGTCTTTAATAAATCTTACAAAGTGGAAAAAACCTCTTACCTTTAAAACCTCAGGCATAAATGACCTTTTAATCTGGCATCTGGGCTTGTCGAACACAAGTGTAACTAATAACTGTTCTTTTCAGATGAAGTTTTACCATTTTTGCCTTGAAATACTAAATTTTTGAATCCGTCTTGTGATAATATAAAAAAAGAAGGTCCTTGAAGATTTTGAACAACCTTAGTAATGTTTAGACATGTCTGGTTTAATTGGAAATGTAAAGACTTTTCAAAATGCCATCTGATAAA